TAAGCTTTAAGTATTAATTAATAGGCTGAATATAGCACTGTGCAGTGAATTACTGCGAGTGAATCGTTCCACTAATATGTAACCTTGTTCAACAAGAGCACTCTTGTTTGTTCACGCTCTCTCTCTTTCTCCCTTTTATATTCTTAACCTTTCAGTGTTCACACCAAAGCCTATTTAACCTCGAAACCTCACAACCTCACAACCTTTCAATCTCACAGTCTCACAACATCAGAACCTGCGCATCTCTCTCTCAATTCTTTCATCTCCCATCCATAACTGAAACAAAAACTTCATTCGCAAAGATGGTCAAGGAGTACTTTCTCGCCCCACACTTTGACGCCCCAGCACCCCCACGGGGATTAATCAAACTCGGCACCGTCCTCAGCAACCTTTGGCAATTCTCTCCTTGTAACCTGGACCGACTTCAGCCGATCCCCGAACTCGCAACTCTTTCCTGTCGAGACTCAAGACTCAGTCGATATAGACGTCCTCAACCTTCACTCCGATCATCGCCCTTTGACGGAGCGAGCCTTGGGACTGATTGGCCGGGGCCCACGTGCACCATCCCGACGCCCTGAGGGTGAATACACGGTGATCTCATGCGAGCATCTCGATACCCTCGGCTTCACCCCGACCGAGTCCTACGTCAAGGACACCATCGAAAATCTCGATGACGAGTGTCTCAAGCCGTCAAGCAGGTCCAAGCGGCCGGTTTACATGGTCACGGGTTTGAAGATTGCCCGTGGTGCCAAGTACTCATCGAGGGTCAGTAGCCGCGCGGTCGTGGGGCGGGACTTTTCTCTTCCTCGAAACCCCCTTGTCTCGCTGGCCGTGAGCTTCGGCCACCACAGTGAGAGTGTCATGGAGTCAAGCTGGAGTAGCTTGGTCGATTTCATCGTCGCCTTCAAGGTGGTGCAGGTCTGGATTAACCATAAGGGAGAGGTCAAGTTCGAGGAGTACAACAAAAAGGCCGTGATGGAGTTCGAGCCATCGTCTGAGTAAATTGCCCGTACCCTTCTATCCGAGGGCGGTACGGTGGCGATCTGACGAGCGAATAATCGGAGGAGATGTTGAGAAGGTGTAATTCGACATCCGCGAGAGGTCAGAGGATTTGTAGTGGGGGGGATGGATATGGTGTTCTTATGCCCTATGTGAGCCGCCTAAACTTCAACCTTATAGTCGGCAGCCCAATACATAGCTCAACCTTACAGGCAACAATCGACTACATAGTGGCTGAGCTTAATTGAATTCAACTTCATCTAAACATCTTCTTTTACTATCATAGAAAAATTGCGGAAACCCTGCGGTAGTGTTTGAATAGGGTGTGTGGGCCAGTCATGGCTACCCTCACGTGAATCATACTAACATTTAATCATATAGCATCTCAACTTGGCTCATATCATCGCCCTCCAGTGATTCTTCCAAGTCCGCTTCAATGATATCCGCCTCGTCTTCATCTTCATCCCCCATGATTTCCTCTCCCATGACCTTCCACCTATTCTTAACATCCAAGAACGCCCTATCGACATTCTTGCTAACAAACCACTTGAATCCGATGCGTCTGTAACCAACAGCATACACTTGCTCTGTTGAAGATAGATATACCTGTGTCTGCTGCGCGCTGTTCCCTCTTCTCAGATTACCTTGAATATCTGCCAGTCCACCTGTAGGGTCAATACCCCCTGCTAGGATGGCGCCTAATGGGACACCAGCCCCTGTAGAAATAGCCTTCGAGGTCGAGATGGATTGAGATACCTCGGCGTTGATCACAGTCCGAAGAGCAGTAATCACGTACATTTTGTGGCCGTCACCGATGGCGTCTTGTAATCTCATCCGCGTGCGCTCTTGAGATATAATCTCTTTGAAGAAAGCGAGAGGACTTTTGACCTCGTAAGACATGGCTTTGCACGCCGAAAGATTGAGCACGTGTGTTTGGGAATTGCTCCAAGACCCCGAAAGAAGCTGAGTAAGAGTGGCCTCCAAGGTCGATCCTTTCTTTTGTTCAATACGCGTTCGGAAGTCTAGCTGTTCCGAAACATGTATTGCATCTTCTGGGAGGGCAATCGGCTCAAAGGCGTCGATATGAGGCTGGCTGACGTTAGGCACTAGGTTGCCTAGCTTGATTTTCCCCAGATCAATAGGAGTATTGATGAGTACGAGTGGCAGCGGCATTTTCAATAACAATAGAATAGGGCCATTTAATGGTACTGATGATGGGCTTTGGCGATGATAAGAAAAACTTTCATTGTGAGAAGCAGAATAATTATCATGCGGTCCGCTACGGACTACCTACTCACAGAACTTTAGCTGCGGGGTTACACGGCATCTTTGTGCCGATCGTCAAGTTCAGCCGCACGCCACTGGGCTATATAGCCTTCACTATTCGCTTGTATCTTGGCATGAGGCTCGTCAGAGGCTGAAAACTATTGAAATAAGTGGAATGTGGCGCGGATCCAGAATCTGATGGCCTCCAAGAAGGGATGGCTAAGATGGTCAGATGGATTATCTCAAGTATTGTCCCTATGGGTACTTTGCCCTTTAATATTCTCGGGCTACGCTTGTAAATGCCAAGCCTTCGAGACTCTTCCTCAACTCCTAAGTAATCGTTCCAACAAGAATATCTCCACTATCTTATAATGCCTCTAGTCAGCATAGCAGATCTTGCACACGCTGGCCGAGAAGCCTATGCCCGCTACCAACTCGACGACGATGTCGACACGCTCTCTCAGGCGATTGGATGCCTTAAAATCGTCAACGATCACGTCCAATTACCATTTGTTCTCGCGGACCTAGGCGTGTACTTACACGACAGATACGGACTAACTGGGAACTCATCTGATCTTGAAGAAGCTATCACATTTGAGAGTGAGTCTCTCGCTCGAATTGACCCGGATTACACCCGTCGGGCACAAATTCTCAATAACCTGGGCCAATTCTATAACTCGCGGTTTGAGTCAACCTCAACACCGAGTGATCTGCAACAAGCTGTAGCTCAAACTCAGCTTGCCGTTATGGAGGCCGTAAAGCATGAAGACGAGGCAGCACCTGAGTACCTGGACTACCTTCTGGAGCTGATTGCCACGCAAGCAAGCTATCATGCTACTGAGAATGATTCGACTGAAGCCTTCGGCAGGATTGAGGAAATTTTGGACTTCGGGCGGAACATAGTAAAGCCCAGACACTACGATCAGATTGCGAATCTCTCCTATATCAAGTCCGAAATCACATCTCAGCTACCGGAATTGCTCAAAGCTATCTCGCATGCTGAGAGTGCCCTGAATGCGACTGGAGATGACCCAGACTACCGGGCCATCAGGTTGACAAATCTTGCCAACTATCAGCTTACACTGTACGAAAAAACCTTTCAAGGTGATATCCTACGAGATGCCATTCGAAATACGAGAGAGGCAGTCGAGCTCGCTAGTAAAGGCACAGATAATGCCTTGGTCGAAAGGATGGCCCTGGCCAGCGCGCTTCATCACAATTATCACTGGAGTGGCCAAGTGGATGATCTCGATGAAGCAATTGAGATAGGTTTTCAAGTCGTCACAGCGACTGCGCCTCGAGATGAAGATTGGCTCGACAGCATGCAAAATCTTTCATTATTCGTCAAAACGGGATTCAAGGCTAAGGGCGTACTTGATGATCTGACTGTTGCTATCGACCTGCTTCAATACGCAATGAAAAATGAAAGTCTTCCCCTCGATTCTCAAAGCCGTTCTGCGGCAATGGCGTTAGACTTGCTAGAAGTCAAATACGAATCTACCAGATCCGATCAAGACTTTGCATTTGCACTCAATGCTTATAATACTGCAATCGATCATCAGCCTGAGGAGCCTGCCACCTCGGAGGCTATTTGGAAGCGACAATCTCATGCAACAGCAACAATCTCCACCCTCTTCAGGGAAAGGTTTGAACGTTTGAGAGACCCTCAAGATATCGATACTTCTATTATCCTAGCTCGCCGATTTCTCTCAGTTGAGAACTCCTTAAACCTTGACGATTGCTCAAGTGCCTTGGCCCTCGCCCTATGGACCGACTTCCGATTCCGTGGTGGGATGGAGAAGCTTGACGAGGCGGTAGATTTAGCGAAGAGTATTGTGAAACGCCAACCGCCTAGTGGGGCAGATTACCTTGGATCTTTGAACAACTTGAGCGGCATCTGTCAGACGAGATACGACGCGACAGGAAATGAGGCGGATCTGCAGACCTGTATAGATTCGGCCCTCGAGGGGCTGGGTGCCATGGTCCCAAATAGCAATGCAACCCTTCGAATTGCAATGCTGCTATCAGCAAGCTCGGCATATATATCCAAAGCAGAGAGGTTCGGGGATCTGGAAAATGTTCAGCTAGCTGTCAGATACGCCTCAGAGGCAAGAGACTTGGCCAAGGAAAAAAGGTTGCCTGTGGATCTCTCGACATCTCTAGACCTGACCTTGTCACAGGCCCTTGCTCTTCGCTACCACTACCTTCAAGCTCTTGCAGACCTGGTCGACACTGTTCGGACTCTCCGCCATGCCAGAATCACGTCTTCAGAGCATTTTCTATTCCCGATTGTCCTGAATAATCTCGGCGAAGCACTTAGAACACAGTTTTCTAGGACGGGAGATGTAGATTGTCTCATCGAATCCACCGAAGCCCTAGAACAGGCGGTTCTCATGTCATCCCCAGGCGATCCTGCGCAAGCGATGTACCGGAGCAACCTCTCCTTGATCCTCTTCGATCTCTTCAAGTTGACCCAGGAACGCGAGACACTGGACAGTGCCATAGAGTCTAGTGACAAGGCGATCCAAGAGACAGTCTTAGGCAATACGCAGTTACCTGAGAGGTTGAACACCAGCGGCAGCTTGTACGCCGCAAGGTTTGAGCTCACTAAGCTGAATTCCGATATGGATGAAGCTATCAGCCAAACCCAAGCTGCTGTTGATGCGACCCCAGCAGACAATCCTCAATGTGCCAAGTATTACAACAACTTGGGAGGGTATTTCATGAAGCGGAGCCTAGCACGAGAGCTAGAGGACACGGGATCCTCTGAAAGATCAGAAGAGGATATGAAAGCGTCACTTCAAGCCTACAAACATCTGCTTTACATGGCGGGTGCTACTCCTCTAGAACGAGTAGGAGCTGGCTACAGTGCTTCCTCGATAGCATACAACGACAAGGATTTGAAGGGTGCCCAAAGCATGATACAGAAGACCATCGAGATGCTTCCCAAGATCAGTCCCCTCGCACTTGAGCGCTCTGACCAGGAACACGCTTTGAGTGGCATCTCAGGCCTCTCATCGTACGCTACCTCGATTGTTTTAGAGGCTGGTGCAGATGCTTCACGAGCGCTTCAATTGCAAGAGGCCGGTCGTGGAGTAATCGCAGGTCTTGCCATCTCAGCTCGTAACGATATTAGCGACTTAGAAGCCCAAGCTCCTGAACTCGCGGCTGAATACAAGAATTGCAGACACCTACTCTCATCGCAAGTCCCGGTGGCTCCACTCACTAGAGGTACTGCAAATTCTACCGAGACTCACAGAGTAGACAGGTATGAGCTGAACAAAAAGCTTGACGCGCTAGAAGACAAGATCCGCCAAGAAGTTCCAGGCTTTCAGAACTTCCAACAACCTCTATCGACTGATGCCCTGAAGGCATTGGCCAGTAAAGGTCCTGTTGTATCATTCAATGTCAGCCACATCAGGAGTGATGCTTTCATCATCACGCAAACGGATATCACATCTATCTCATTACCTGACCTGAAGGAGGAAGACCTGAACAGCAACGCCAGACTCTTTTTAGAGAGACCTATGATCACCAGGGGGAGTCTTAATACTAAGAACACGAGGAATGCATCCCTGCTGCGCATTCTGAAATGGTTATGGGATGTTGCTGTGCATCCAGTTTTAAAAGCGCTGGATATTGGTCAGAGACCAAAAGGCAAGAAACTCCCACGCATCTGGTGGACCTCGAGTGGGCTGATGGCACTGATGCCTATCCATGCCGCTGGAGATCACACTTCAGACAGCAGTCCGAATATGTTCGATTTCGCCATCCCTTCATATACCACGACACTGAAAACGCTTGCATATGCCCGCGAGACTAAATGGAAACCGCTTCAGGGCGTAAATTGTGAATATGCCTTCATCGTGTCCCCAAACAAGGCAAGAGAAGACAATGAATTATCAGTTGAACAGTCAGCATATGAGCTCAATGACATGGTTCAACAGCACTGCAAAACCAGAGTTCTCATAGCTCCAGACAAGGCGAAAACTCTTTCATCTCTCGCATCATGTAACGTCGTGTTCTTCGGATGCCATGGTCAATCGATGTCAACTCAACCCTGCAAGAGCTATCTCCAACTTGGCACCAATACCGACTCACACTTGACGATCCAAGAGATCCAAGGCTCGCGACATCAGAACGCACAGCTTGCGTATCTATCTGCGTGCTCGACTGCAAATGTATCAGCCCGGCATCTCGTAGATGAAGTAGTCCATATAGCTGGAGCGTTTTCATTATTAGGATTTCAACAGGTCGTGGGGACGTTTTGGGAGGCTAAGAATAGCAAGGCTAGAGTGGTTGCTAAGCGATTCTATGAGGAGTTGATGCTTGGGGATGGTGAGGATGAAGATTGCATTGCGAGGGCTTATTATACTGCGGTCATGGAGCTGAGGGCAAGTAAGATTCAAGATCCGTTGGTTTGGGCTACTTTCGCTCACTTTGGGGCGTGATTCAACATCAAATCATTCAACTCTGCTTCTAAATCAGTCTAAGCCAACCTAAGCTCGTCTAAAACTATACTATCGCACTTCTTACACTTCTGTCCCCAGTTACTTAGTATGAGCCTCAAGATTCAGGAGATCCTGCTTATCCCCAGTATACTGAACCTTTTTCATCCACTCCTCCACGCTCTTGACACGATCCGGCACAATTCTATCCAGAAACCCAAAGTCCCTCTGAATCAGCCCTGAGTTATCACTGGGGCTCGCCTTGTAAAGGTTCCACCAGTTTTTGAAGTTCTCTCCATAGGTCATGAGCAAACCACTATCATCTTTGACAGACTGGAAGCCAATCTTTGTATCCGGTCCTTGCGGCAGCGACTTCCACGCGACAGAGTTCCAGATATCGATAGGGACGTTAACGAATCGACTTGTCTTTCCGCTGACCTTCTCAGAAGCTTTGGCGATATCTTCACCAGTTGCGAGAACGGTGGCAATACCAAAGTCCAACTGGTTTGACTCCTCAGGGTGCTGGAGTGCCCAGTCGACGTATTTACCAAAGTCACCTAGGTGGATGAATGGGATAGAGCCATCGTCAAGAGGAAGCTGGAAGGTGAGAGAACCGTCCTGTTCGATAGCGGGTGACATGACTGCCGAGAGCAGTTCCATATATGGGCCTGATCTAATGATAGTCCATTGCATCTTGACGTCTTTCTGAGCGTGGATCCAGTCTAAAAGGATGCATTAGCAAAGGCCTGATGGTAATACATGACGCAAAAAATGGCTGCTTACCTTGGATTCTAGCCTTGCCTTGATAATGACCAACATACAGGTCAGGATCATAGTTGGTCTTGGGTCCAACAGAGTCAAGACCACTGTAAATGAAATGCTTGACCCCAGCTCTAGCAGACAACTCAAAGAGCCGGATGCCCCAATAAGTTTCAGCTTGTTCTCCGAGGGCGAATCCGTCCGTGTTGACCAGAACATAATCAACACCCTTGGCAGCTTCGACAAAGGCTTTGGTGTCATAGCCAGTTGCGGCGTCACTAACAGCAATCTTGACATTAGGCAGAGCCGCTAGTTCGACAGCCTTGGGGGATGTCGCGCTGCGCGTGAAGGCTGTGATGTTGTACTGGCCAGTGCTGGAAAGGTGACGAAGAATGGCTCCGCCTTGAGCTCCAGTGGCACCAACGATGAGGATTGACTTCATTGTTAAGAGGACTTGAAGGTTTGCGGAATTAAAGATGTTTGCGATGATGTGCTCTTTGTTATAGGTTGAGTATAATAGTGAATAGATAGTGTTCCTCTAGAAATCGAAGAAAAGATGTCCTTATATATGCAATTACAACCTCTGTTGTCTATATCATATAGCGACTACTATCTGTGGTGGAGCTTTATAAGCGTTCTGCTCACTAATATTCTGTTTAGTGATCAGGTTGCGATGCGACCTCACCCAAAACCCCGCAATGACCGCAATGTTTCCCGCAATGCTCGAAGCCGCCAATAATAATCCTATATCCGACTTAGTCATCCGTCTCGTCCAAGTCAAGAACCGCTAAAGTACCGCAAGATCCGCTGACGCGTCTGCTTACTCGTCATTATCCGCCCATCACCACAATGGCCTCCCCAACGCGAGTTGGAGTGTGGAAACCCATACCTCCTGGAAGCAGAGCTCGCGTCTCCTGCTTTAGTTGTCGCGAGAGTAAGCGGAGCTGTGACAAATCATTGCCTACATGTTATCTCTGTCGTCGCAAAGGCATAGGATGCTACTATCCCCAGCACCGCGGTCAGAAGAACCCCTCCCCAATTGGTGAGGGGCCCAATCTCGAAAATGCTGCAGCTGGAAGAATTTCGGAGACTTCTCAGCCTAAAAAGGCACAAGTTTTGGTCAACCCGGAGGCAATTCGCTTTCTGGCCCCAGACCTCTTTCGCGACATGAATCTACAGGTCCCTCGTGTCAACTGGGAGATACCAGCTGAGATTGATACACAACTCGGGGGTCGGCAACAAATGCAAGAGACTACCAAGGTATTCTTGCAGTTGACGAAATCATGGATGCCTATCGTCAACGGGAAGCGCCACTTGGCTGCCGTCTTGAATCCCCTTGTTCCACTTCGCCGCCCAACAGCCCTCTTAGCGCTGTGCATGAAGCTTTGCTGTCTGCCTGTCGACAAAGTTGAAGAGAAGCGCGTGTTGTACGAGCTTGTGAAGAAATTATATGCGGAAGTGGAGCGTCAAGAGGACTCATGCCTTCAGCTCATGCAGTCAGCAGTCTTCATTGCTGTGTTTGAGATGGGCGATGCCATTTTCCCAGCTGCTTACTTGACTGTCGGGGCTTTGGCAAGGTATGGTATGGCCACGGGGATGGATAAGATCAACCAGACTGCGCTGGGTAAGGACTGTGCAGCAACTGTGGGTGCCTCGTGGGCGGATATCGAGGAGATGAGGAGGGTTTGGTGGGGAGCGTTGATCCTTGACCGGTATGTCAATTGCTACAAGCATCGCGCATTGTGCTAATTTGTTGCACGAAGTTTGCTGAACGTCTCTGAACCGTCTCGTGGTTTAAGCACGGCTGATCCCTCCTTCGAGGATTTTCTCCCTGTGGATGATGACTTCTTTTACAACCAAGTATGATTATCCTTTCCTTACCTAGCCCGATTAACAACATATCTCATCAACAGTCATCATCTCCCGAACATGCTACTCGCATATCTGAAGGCTTCACCTTCAAGATGGGATCCTTCGCAAGGCTATGCCAAGCCATGCACCTCATCAGCAAATCCATCTCATTCTGTCGCATTGCATCTAATAGCAGCGAGGCTCCACAGAATAGTACAGCTGAGGAGGTGGGACAGCTCTGCCGTACACTTGAGTCCCTAGTCCGCGTCAACGAACTCGAAGCGACAAGCCGCCGACTGGCGTTTTGTAGCCAAAGCTGTGTTTCATACATGTGAGTCACCCCAACTCAGTGAGAAATCTATACTGACTTCGACGAGTGGGATTCTGCTACTGCAGCAGCACTATTGGCAACAACCTGGCCACGAGTCAGAACAAGACTCGGCACGCAATATCTTCCCAGAAACAATTTCTGCACTCGAAACTCTAGTTCGTATCTCGGCGACCCTGCGAGAAGGCGGTTACGAGCTATCGCAGTATCTTGAAGACGGACGATGTTCTCTCTTTCTAGTTGAACTAGTCTACCAAGGCATGCTAGTCCTTTTGCGAATGGGCAAGGTATGGCTGGCAGAGGACGTACAGAGCAAGAAGGAATCATTGACCTGGCTGCTCTCGCACATGGGGAAGCGGTGGCCACTCGTCGGTAAGACCATTACCAAAATACTTTATGCCTAGACTAATATCGTCACAGCAGTGTACAAGCGTATCTTGGAAGCGAGGGAGAGTATACTGGCTGTTGAAGATGCTTTGACATAGGATAGATAACTATACAGATAACTACCACAGTCAGGATATCTACTTAAAACACATATGCAATGAAACTCTCTTCGCGTGCTTCCGCTATGCTAGTTGCAAATCTCCATATCCTACAGCTTCGACGTAGCCCCCTTGGAAACAGACTTATAAGTCTGCTCAAACCGCTCTCTCGTATCCCTGATGCAATCATGCTCATAAATCATCTTTTGCACCTCCGGACTAACCCACTTATCCGGCACCGGCGCAGACCCCGTCTTTGCAGCCGCAAACTGACGATCTCGTTCCTCCCTAGCATTTCCAGCGCCCAGATGCAAAGCCTTGGCAGATTGAACTGCCAAATCTACCAAAGTCGATGTACGAGGCTTTCGCAAAAGTTCATATACCTTTAGTGTCTTCTCGATAGCTTCTCGGTCTGAACCGTTGCCTGGCATTAGACTCAAAGCTTCAGCGAGTGTTGCTGCGTCTTCGATCGCCATTGCAGCACCTTGTGAGAGGTGGGGTAGTGTAGGATGGCATGCATCGCCGAGCATGGTGACTGCACCGCATGTCCAGGTTGCAAGAGGCTCATGACAGCGTAATTTCCACTCGACCACTTCGTCACCCGGTACAAGATCGAGAAGCTGTTGAACGATGGGGTTGAAGTCTTCAAATACCTGCTTCATGGCCTTTTTGCTTCCCTTGTTGGTCCATGTAGCGTTGGTAGCACCGGCAAAATTGACATCAGGTTGAACTGAAGCAATGTTGAAGATGGAGTGGTTGTGGATGGGATAGGCGATGATATGTCGCTTTTCGCCTATCCACCGCCGAACAGTGTTGCTGTTGAGCATGTACATCAGGTACGGATGTGGTTCCAGTAGTTCTCGGGGAAGAAGAATTCTGTAAGCTGCTGTACCAGTCTCGAGGATTTCTGCTGCCAAGTTGAGATGAGCGAGTATCGACTCTCTAACCTTGGACTTGATCCCATCAGCACCAATGAGCACATCCGTCTCAACAATCTGCGGCTTCCCATTCTCATCCTTAACAATAAACTTGACCTTCCCCGGTCCAAAGTCCTCAACATACTGCAACGTCTTCTTAAAATGAAATTCCACAGCGGGCTCTGCCTTGGCAGCATCGTAAATCCCCTCAGCCAGCGAAGCACGATGACCTGCATAGTGGGGATACTCATACTTATCGCCAATATCAGCCATGGAAACGCGCACAAGAAGCTTATTTGAAGCGCCATCGTGGATGACGACTTCTTCGACTTGTGTGGCTCCGTCTTTGATGGAGGATTTGGTCCAGACGCCGAGTTGGTCGAGGAGGCGGATCATGTTGGGGGCCATTTGGATGCCGGCGCCGACGAAGCCGAGGGCGGGTGCGTCTTCGTAGACATGGATGTTTGTGAAGCCTTTCTTGGCGAAGGCTAGGGCAGCGGCCAACCCTCCCATTCCTGGATGAGGAGTTAGTTATCATTGGATGTTGTTTGTGTTATTGAACGGGATCATACCGGCTCCAATGATGGAGACTCTGAGATCTGTCTTGTTGGTCATGGTGATGTGCCGTGAGATGAGAGTATGGGGAATGAAGTTTATCGTTTGTTGAGCTTCTTTAGTCAAAACACAATTTGATTAATTCTCTCAGGCCTTTTTATCTTCACAACTATCATGAGCTCAACCCTTGACTGTGATAGTTTTCGCAAGTTGAAGAAACACGGCACAAAACCTCGGTAGACACATCGGCCGTCCCACATCGGAACCCCGCCGAGCGATCACAACTCGGCAATTGCCCTGTAGATAAGTGCATACATCAAATCATGGCTGAAACGCAGCCCATCACCGAATCAAGAATGGCTTATTTCTGCTTTCAACAAGCTACAGGACATCACATGCAGGCGTCCAGGGTAGTCTCCCCGCATTCTACCAAACTCTATCCCCACACAGACACAATCCAAGACCCCACAAGCGCTAGCAAACCCCACAGAGTTAAGGCATCGGCAGTTTAAGTGAGTCAAGTCCCGACCATCCCGTTGATAAGGTATAATAGTAAAACAGGACCAGGCTCCGAATATTGTCGTTAGGGGCAATACTACTCTGTCTCATCTTACCTTTTTTCTTCTTGAACACAAAAACCTCGGTTAAGTGATCATCATGCCTCAGCCGAATACTCTAACCCACGCCAAAGTCGAACTCGAGGATGATCCTCATCGTGCTGCGCTGGAGGACAATCCCACTACGCAGCCGAAGACGGGAGCCCGAGTCTGGATTGCCATCTTTGTAAGAAAACCCCTGTTATCATATAATCCTCGGAATCGGAACTGACTTATACCGATTGACAGTCAATGGCATTGTCCTTCGGACCAGCTGTTGGTCTTCCATTCGTCTGTGTTGCTAGTATCGTTGTGCAGATAACGAATGAACTTGGCGATGCGAGTCAACTGCCGTGGGTCGTAGGAGCATGGTCTCTCGCGACAGCCTGCTCTTTCTCCCTTGGCGGTCCCTTCAGCGATATCTTTGGACGTCGAAGCATCATCCTTGCAGGCCAAGTTGTCGTTCTGATCGGTAACATTGTTGGAGGAACCGCCCAGAACACCCAAAGCATCATTGCAGCCGAGACCTTGGTCGGTCTTGGAACTGGCTTTGTGTTTGTGGCGTATGCAGGTGTACCCGAGATGCTTCCCAACAAATGGCGGTCTCTCGGCCTAGGCATTCTCGAGGGAGGAATTGCCATCCCCTGGTAAAGTCTACGCATCCCCTCGACTAGTCATTGAGGCTTTACTAATGCTGGGGTTTCAGGGCCGTGGTGAGCGTTCTCCTCGCAAATGCCATGTACAAGTATGCGACCTGGCGATGGCTCTTCTACATCGCCATCATCGTCCAGGCCATCTCCTTGGTTGGTACAGCCTTGTTCTACTGGCCCACGTCTCATCCCCAAGGAGATTTCGACAAGTCACGCTGGACTCAGTTCCGAGAGATCGACTGGATCGGCCTTGGCCTGTTCACAGCCGGGCTCGCTGTATTCCTGATCGGCTTGACCTGGGGCGGCAGTGCTTCTCATCCATGGAAAAGCGCCAGCACCATCGTACCTATTGTTCTTGGGCTATTCACCATTGTCGCCGCTTTCATCTACGACTTTTTCATTGCTAAAGCCCCCATGTTTCCTCTCAGTCTCTTTTCTACCATCCGTGGCTTTCTTCTTGTAATTGTTGTCTTGTTCATTTCGGGAATGAACTATAATTCCCTTTCTGCTCTGCTTCCTCAAGGCTCCCTCTACATGTTCACCACTGACGGCATCGAGATTGGCGTTCTGGCATTGCCCAACACCCTGATGCAAGGCGTTTGTGGTTTCCTGGTTCCTCTTTTCTCCCACAAGATTGGTCACATCAAGTGGCAATTTGTCGCCGGCACAGCATTCCAGGCTATCTTCATCGGAGCCAGCGCCGCAACCGTCAATCCTAACCACAAACTCGCCTGGGCGTTTGTACCAGCCTTTGGAGTTCCAATGTTCGTCCTTTGCACCATCCTGGGATACTCCATCGCCAGTCTACATGTCCCGCATTCTCATCTGGGTCTCGCGATGGGTCTCCTGGGTACCTTCCGATCAGCCGGCGGTGCGGTCGGAAATGCCATCTTCAACACCATCTTCCAGGATAAGTTCAAGACTTATTCTGGCGAGGAGATCGCTCGCGCTGCACTACAAAGTGGCCTAAACGCCACTGACCTGGGACTAATCATCCCGGGTACCATTCAGCATAACCTTGGTGTCCCTGGTGCTCTTGACGCCGTACCCGGCATGACACCAGAGATCCAGGAAGTGCTTCGACATGCAGTCAGACTAGCCTACGGTCGCGCATTCCAGTTCGTATTTTACATCACAATTGCATTTTCAACTGTCGCTGTTATTTGTGCCTTATTCGTGGAGGACCCGACTGCTTTCATGACGAATCATGTTCAATCTGCCATGGTTGGTCGAGGTCATACCGGGGTTGTTGATGGAGCTGCCCCGGTCTCGAGTACAGATGATAAGCCAACTGAGAGCCATGATGAGAAGAGCGATGGCAATACTGCAGGCGGAGTAAAGATGGCTTGATATGTGAGCTCGAGAAATTGTACCATAGTCGGCGATACGACTAGTGTCTCGATGGTTCGTCTTCATTGTTGAACACGGACGCCCCGTTGTTATTTAATGGTGGTAGAACCGATGCAATATTGACAGAAAACTGCAATTTAAAATGGGTTCTGATGTCATACAGCGCCAAGCCTATCTAAGAAGGTGGTAAATCTCACCGTTGTTGGTCGAGGTCTCGTAGATTCAAAAGGCCCTTCTCTATTGCGTTTCCTGCATCCATTGTGCCCACCAGGAATTGATTCTGTTGGCCACCGTAAGAGATAAGCCATATCGCGCAATCCTAGTCTATGATCTGACTGACCCACTATAACCTCTATTTTTACCATCTCGTATCTGCATAGCATATGTCCGCCTTACTAACATTTAATTTCTCCCCTTTATTGTCTGAACCACGAACGAATCTCTCATCCATACTGCTATGTCATGAGGCGATTGCAGAATAATGCAAAGTCAGCAATTCCCAACGTTGTCTCTGTCACCACCTTGTATCAGCACGCCTTTATGATGAGCAACAGCGACGCAATTGACCTGGCTTCATGCCTTCTGAACACGATATTTTCTTCACTGTTTCTGTTGCGACTATGGCGACTTCGAAAAAAGGTTATCAAGATTATCTCTGGATATTCTGGCTTCTCATCGCTGGTGAAGCCTCCCTCAACTTATACGTCAATGCGAAGCTGACACAATTTACTGTCTAGGTTATAGTAAGCCTGCTCCTGATGGTGAGTCTTTACCATTTGGCAGCAGAAGCCTCGCAGAAAGATCTCCGTCACACTGTAGTGCCAGTTGGTTCCTTCGTCGCTACTGCGCTCCTCTGTCCTCTGTTGTACCTGGAACGTTTGCGCTCAATCAGGCCAGCCGACCTCGTCGTTGTCTTCTTGATCATATCTTCGGGATGTGATATGGCTCTTGCGATACAAGAAGGGTTCAAGGGGTGGATGATACCCACCACAAGGATTGCTCTGAAGATTCTTCTGATTGCTACGGAAAGCCGAAACAAACAACGGATTCTCAAACCTCTCTACTCTTCCCAATCTCCCGAAGAGCTCGCAGGAATTCTAAGCAGGACATTCTTCTGGTGGATCATCCCCATTCTCGCCTTGGGAAACCAGATAATTCTTTCTGTCGATGACTTGCCTCCGATTGACCAGCTGCTTACATCGGAGAAGCTCCGTCGTGATGGCTTGAAGGCGTGGGACCCGAGGGCAAAACCATTGACCAAGATTACACTACCCATTTGCCTAGTGAAGAGTATGCTACCTCGGTTCATGGCACCAGTCATCCTTCGATTATGTCTGATATTCTTTCGTTACGCGCAGCCGGCTCTTATCAGCTCTGCGGTTCATATACTAAGCAGCCACTCCGATGGAGGTAGGCTTATGCTAATCATTAAAGTCTCCGGGGTGTACTTCGGGCTGGCAGTATTTGATGCAGTTTACCACCATCGATTGAACCGACTCAGCATCATGACTAAAGGCACACTCGTCGGGCTTATCAATAACGCAGCGCTGCGGCAGTCGTCAAGCAGCTACAACGATAGTATAGCTCTTACTTTGATCAGCACAGATACGGAGAGCGTGATGAGGTTCGCGAGCATGTTTCATGAAACTTGGGCACATGCCCTTGAGGTCATAATCGGGATGGCGATGCTGGCTCGACAAATCCGCTGGGCCGCCCCGGTACCACTCGTGATTATCTTCTGTGAGACTTCCAGTTCAGATTCGGTCTTTATAAATGCAGCTAACGGGATTCTGTTCCAAAGTTTGCTCTCGAATGAGTCGGTACCTGGCAAAGAACCTGCAAAGCAAGCAGAAAGCCTGGAATGAAGCGACGCAGAGAAGAATCTCATTGACAGCATCTGCGCTCTCGTCTATGAAAGTGATGAAGATGCTTGGTCTCTCTAGACAGACCGAGGCTTTGCTTCAGAAGCTTCGAGCGCAAGAATTGGAGATGGCTAAAAAAGTGCGGTGGATGATGGTCGCGTATAACGCGAGTGGTATGTTTCATGATGACTATCCAACAGTTCTACCCCCACTAACAATTATAGCAAATGCCCTCGGCATATTCTCTCCTATATTAACATTTGTCATTTTCGTGCTGTATGCTAATCTTCGTGGGTCGACTCTCGACGCCGAGACTGCATTCACGACAACAGCACTTCTTGGGCTAGTAACCCACCCAGCAAACATGATCATGACGATTGTGCCTCGTGCCATTGGCTCTCTGGCTGCTTTTGGAAGAATCCAAGACTATCTTGTCCGGCCTGGTCGAGCGGATGAGAGACTTTTGTTGAGACGAAAAGACGATGATGCTTTATCAGCAATTTGCTTTGAAGCCATCACGGTTCAGTCCCATTCATCATCACGCCCAATCCTCGAAAACATCAATTTCACCGTAAATCAAGGCTCGGTATTCATTTGCGCTGGAGCAGTTGGAAGCGGAAAGACAGTCCTTGCCCAGTGCATTCTAGGCGAAATCCCACTGTCAAGCGGGACAATCTCCGTCTCCACCAAGCGGATTGCTTACTGCGAACAATCACCCTGGTTGCCGAGTGGAACTCTGAAGGAAGCGGTTTGTGGCTTTGAAAAGTTCGAGGCTGGCTGGTATAAGCAAGTCGTCAAGCTTTGCTGCCTTGATGAGGATATCTCAGCCTTCCCGCTTGGGGGCGATACTTTGATTGGGAGCCGGGGCCTGAAGCTCTCTGGAGGTCAAAGACAGCGTTTGGTAGGTACCCAGTTCTGTCTTTACCTGTGAAGCTTTTTGATGCTAAGTATGAACCAGGCACTCGCCCGCGCTGTATATGCTCGGTGTGAAATTGTACTTCTTGACGACAGCTTCTCAGCTCTTGATCACAACACTGAGGGAAAGGTCGTTTCTAATCTTCTGGGAACCCATGGGCACTTCCGCAAGACAGGCACTACAGTCATCTTGATCGCCAACTCTAGTGAGTGCTCAACAGTATCTCTCGGGACATATTGATGCTCATAATCTTCAGCCAAGCACTTTAGTCTGGCCGACTCGTTGATCATTCTGGAGAATGGAAGAGTCACATACCAAGGGTCACCAAACGCAATAAATGAAGAAGCTGCACATTTACATCACACGCCTGTCAGCGCGGTAGGTTCCGAAGACAAGACCGATCTTATCGAATCAAACGAGACAATTCAGAGCCAGGCTCTAAAGGTAAATGAGGCTATGGCTGATTTGGGTAGATCAGCAGGAGATTTCTCTCTATACGGTATGTACAAAGCTTGAACGACATGAGACTCGCTGACTGGCGTAGGATATTACCTGAGAGCTGTGCACCCGCGTAACTTCTTCATACTACTCGTTTGCACAGCTTCGTACTCATTCTTTGTGACCTTTCCACAGTATTGGCTGCAGAAGTGGACGGAATCACCAGGCTCTCAGACGAAATTCTATATCGGAGGCTACCTCATTCTTTCACTCCTAGCCTGGACAGCCACGAATGGGTCAATGTGGTATGTCATTGAGCCTCTAAACTTACTCTCATATGGCTAATGGTCCACTTCCAGGTCTACTCATATGTTGATTGCGCCAACATCGGGTGCTGAACTCCACCGACGCTTACTCTCCACTGTCTTTGGGTCTGTTCAGCATGGCCATCGTACAAAGGGCTTAGCTAACTGATCCCAGCGCTCCATTGCTGTTCTTCTCAATGACAGAAACGGGTTCGATACTGAATCGGTAACTTACCCCATTTGCCTCTTAATGCTTGCCACTTGGCTGATGACTTTCAGGTTCAGTGAAGACATGCAACTCGTCGACAAGAGCCTACCTCCGGCAATACTCTCCCTTTCCAATCGTTAGTACCTCCAATATCTTAAATAATATGTGTACGATGTAGGTTTTCTGACTGCTTGTAGAGGTCTTCAAATTACTGGTGCAGGCGACGCTGCTTTTCAGCGCCCAGAAACTGCTAGCTGCCACGTTGCCAATCTGCATTTTGGTAGTCTACGTTGTGCAGCGAGTGTACCTGCGCATATCTCGACAGCTTCGTTTGCTCCAATTAGAATCGCAGTCTGCAGTTTACTCAAGCTTCCTTGAGTCTGTAAGTATCGGCTAAAGTATCCAAAGCTGGGGCTAACCATCCCACTTGTTCTCAGGTCGAGGGTGTCGTCAGCATCCGGTGTTTTGGCTGGGTGAAGCAAGCAGAGACTACCAACATGGGCTGTCTTGATAAGTCCCAGCAACCAGCGTACATTCTGCTTTGCTTGCAGCTCTGGCTCAACATTGTTCTTGACTTGGTCATTGCCGCCATGGCAGTGATCCTGATCACTTTGGCAGTCTTCTTGGAGGGCAGCACAACAGCTGGCCAGATTGGCATGTCGTTGAACATCGTCCTCGTCGCCAACTCGACACTTTTAGCGCTTGTCACGTCTTGGACGAATTTGGAGATCTCTCTCGGTGCTATGTAAGTTCGCACTTGGAGCCTTTGCGTATTGACGAAATAGCTGTCTCTGGATTGTAAAGGTTATGCTTTTGCTGACTAAATCACTGTCACAGATCGCGTTTGAAGACACTGGAAGCAAACACACCAGCAGAAGAACAGCCAACGTCCGGAGCGACAATCCCTGACAGCTGGCCTTTACGTGGGGCAGTTGAGGTCCGTGACCTGACGGTCTCTTACGAAGAGACGAACGTGCCGGCCTTGAAGAACATCAACCTATCCATTGACGCAGGGCAACATTTAGTGATCTGTGGTAGGACAGGCAGGTAAGTTCTCTATATGAGCCCCTACCTATCCTAGATCTGTTACTGACAGTCTATGCTAGTGGGAAGAGCACTCTCCTTCTCGCCTTGCTCCGTCTTCTCAATGCTCAGTCGGGGGCCATTGAAGTTGATGGAATCGATTTGAACCTGGTTCCGCTGTCGTTTATACGTGAGCGATGTTTTATCACTGTTACACAAGATCCATTTCTGCTCGCACAGGCGAGCCTTCGCTTCAACCTGGACGTAAGTAAACCTTCGCGCTTGAAATCTGTGGCGAGAACTTGCATTAACGCATTGCCTTTTTCCCCACTCTTTATAGCCTTCAGAAACTCTTTCCGACAGTGCCATCATGAAGGCACTTGAACGAACTGGGCTCTGTGAACATTTCGACAGCAATCCGGAGGCAAAGCTGGTAGATATTCTGGACGACCCTCTCAATTCGTTGCCTCACATGTCAACTGGCCAAACCCAGCTGTTCGCCCTGACAAGAGCTATCCTACGAGCCGAGCATTCTTCAGTTACAGGAGCAAAGCCTATTCTGCTGCTGGATGAGGCGACATCATCGGTTGATGGGCTCACAGAGTCAACTATGCGGCGTATTGTGAAGGACATTTTTACGGATAACGGACACACTGTGATTGAGATTACGCATCGTTTGTCTGGATTTGAGGGTATCGCGAGAACTGGAGGACAGAGTCAACAAGTGAAAGTTATTCTTCTTTCGCAGGGAGAGATTCAGAGTCAGAGAGGAATTGAGGATGTGCTCGATTTTGGCAAGGCGCCTTAGATAGACAGGGATGGTCTACTCAATCAAGCTTTCGTGCGCTGCGAGTCGATAAGCTTCAGGAAGTCTGAAAGTCGACACGTGCAAGTATGAATCTATCACTCACAAGTCGTACCGATATCTGCGGTAAGGTTAGGATTTTAAAAGAGACTTTAGCCTCCAGGCTACAAAGGTAAAGGACACTAATAAATACATACAGGTAAAACACTTATCACTCTTATAATCACCTAAGATCTTGCTTTTGGCTGAAAAGCTAGATGGCCTGATGATGTTGGAGACTCGGTAGTAATCAGGACTAGGTTTTCAGTCAAATAAAGCTTCTACACTGAATGAGTCACAAAGGTTTTGAACACAAAGCGTACCGATATCAACAGCTCCAAGACTTATGCAAGGTACTGAGCTGATGTTCCGCGATAAAGACGGCGGTCGTCTCCAAACAACTACCCTTTTTATACAATAGATCCCTCAGCATCATCAGCATTCCAAAAAGGGAAACAAAAGTGACCAAGAACGCCGCGATACCGCTTGCGGCACTGATTGTCGTAGGTGCCGCAAGGTCTCGAACCAGTAGCATCATCATTCATTATCATGGGCTCGACCAGCCTATTTCAGCATAGCTCGATCGCCCAGCTAGCTGCTCGTTCCACGAGTGATGATTGGCTCATGTCGTATCAGCGAGGTCGGAATGCTGCGACCGTCGGCTGGACTCTCTGGAAGCTTATCTAGTGTCGGCCAACCCCGCATTCGCCGTCAACTAAGTTAGTCGAGATACGAGATTGGGTTGGCATATTTAACATGTCGCTATGTCCCATTAGACTTGGCGATCTTGAAACATACATTCATTCGCTGACCTTCCTCTGGTACCGTATTCTATCATGTCGTTTGAAGAGGGTACTTTGACAGTTGATGTGTTGCCTCCGGGCACGCAACGCATCAATGACTTGCAAGCTACTCATATCGTGCTGGCTCCTCGGCCAACTTCAGATCCGAATCAGCCTCTGGTACGAAAACCCCATCCAAAATTAGCCTCCTCTAACGATTTCAGAACTGGAGTCCAATGCGCAAAACCCTCCACATGATGCTTCTATCTCTCTACTCGATGATGATGTTTTGCATGTACGTCTTCAGCCCCTTTCTAGTTTTCCATCGCTAATTGAGACATTCAAGTCCTTGCATGAGCGTCCCATTCTGGCAAAACTTCAACGAAGAGCTCGGCATGAGCTATGATATGCTTAACAACGGATATGCAGCAAACATGGCAGGTCTTGCCACTGGCTGCATCATCTTCATCCCTATCGCCCTGCGCATCGGCCGTCGACCGGTTTATCTCGTTACGTCGTTGATCATGTTTGGTGCCGGTGCTTGGCAAGCTGAGACGCATACTGTTGGGGATATGATTGGTATGAACACTATTGCGGGTATTGCCGGGGCTGTCAACGAAGCCCTGTTCCAGGTCACAGTAAGTCTCCCCTACTTGGACTTAATGTGAACTCATGCTCATCGGTCTGGCAGGTAACGGAACTTTTCTTCGTCCATCAACGTGGTACAATGAACGGTATCTACTTTATGATGGTCCTTGTAGGCGTGAGTAGTCCTATGATCCCTCTCCTGCGGTCATATCCTGACACATACAGAACTACCTTGGACCTGTCTATGGTGGCCAAGTCGCCGTGACGATGGGTTGGCGCTGGGCTTGCTGGTCCGCCACCGTCTTCACCGGCATCGTCACCGTCCTCATGTTCTTCTTCCTCGAAGAAACAAAATACATCCCCGCGCCACTCAACGGCCACGACCCTCGAGTCACTACATCCTCGCCTACCGATAACGAGTTCTCCAAGGTTAACAGCACCGCAAAGATACCCTTGCCAAGCGATTCACCTGCCAGCGTCGACTTCAGGGAGCAGCAGAGTGATACCATCGAGATAGATCACAGCATTCCCATGAACTCCTACTGGAAGCGCCATGCACTTCTGACATTGGACAAGCACGAGTCCACTCAGAAGCGAACGTTCTGGAGAGATATTTACGAGCCTTTCCAGCTCCTTGCCACATTTCCAGCTGTCATGTTTGCTGCGCTACAGTATGGTTGGAGTATCGCCATGCTCGCCATTCTGGCAGTCACACAGAGTTCACTGTACTCTATTCCGCCCTATAACTTTACGACAGCTGGTGTTGGAAACATGAATATCCCCCCATTCATCGGTGCCATCCTAGGAGCTATTTTCGGAGGACCGCTTGTTGACTGGTCCATTGTGCAGATTGCGAAACGCCGTGGGGGTATCTATGAGCCCGAGACGAGACTGTGGCTGTTCCTGGTTCCTGGGTTATCCATGACCGTCGGATGTCTGATGTATGGACTCACTATTGCCAAGGGAATGCCTTGGATCATCAACGCTGTTGGCTCAGGCTTTATCGGTTTCGCCATCGGAGGTGGCGGCGACATGTCCCTCACATTCCTTCAAGACTCTCACGAACATGTAAGCTATCCCAACTCCAATCTTCCTGCTATGGTCTAACATCCTCTCAAGATCATAGGTCCTGCACTGACAGGTGTTGTGTTTGTTCGTAACGTCATTGCAACTGGCCTAGTCTTTGCCGTCACGCCATGGATGGAAGGCATGGGTGTGTACAACATGTATGTGGTGTTGGGCTGCATTTCTACTGCCGTTGCTTTGACTTGTTTGCCGATGGTTATCTGGGGTCGCACATTCCGGGTTCGGTTGGCGGGCAAGTATGAGTACTACACCAATAGGCAGTATTAGATTGAAGCATATAATTATCCATATACAAGATCTATGATCTTTTAACGCACATGTTGAGTATCTCCATGACCTGACTAGCCTCCGTGATGGGGAATGCATTGGTCTGAATCCAGATGTCGTCAAGACTATTCTTTGCAAGAACCTCAAGCTTATCCTCCCCAATCCCAACCTCTTCCAGTGAACGAGGCATACCAAGGGCAGAAATAAATACGTCCAAGATATCGGCCAACCTCACGGCGCTCTTATCAGGACCCTTCGCCTGCAGCAGCTGCCGAACTTCATCCTGTTCCAACAACAAGTCCCGCACAACTTCCTGTCTCTCAACATTTGCCTTTTTGTTGTAATTGAATCTGCACACGGCAGGTAAGAGTATACAACTCGTTTCGCCGTGACCAACTCCAAGCGGTCCAAGTTGATGTCCGATAGCATGACTCGCACCGAGTGGCACACCACTTGACACGGCACACATCGACGACACAACACCCCGATGGCAGAGATGACGGGCTTGTAGAGACTTTGGATCTGCCCTGCTTGCCAACAGACCACTGACAAGTTTAACAAGTCCCTTTTTCGACCATTCATCAGCTTTGTCGTTTGAGACAAGCGAGCAGAGCGTTTCGACGCAATGATCAACGGCTCGAATGCCTGTACTGAGCCAAACCCACTCTGGGGTCGTAAGGCATAGTTCTGGATCTTGGATGACGAGCTCTGGATCGACACCTTCGCAGTGAAATGTTCTCTTCGCGTGCCCTTGGGACTCCGTTCCTCCGGCGATGGCTTGGAACTCGCCACCCGAGAGTGATGTCGGGATGTGGATGAGAGGAATAGTCGGTTTGGATATGTTGCTTCGTAGTGCAGGATTGCTTTTCGGTGTCCCCCATAACGTATCCATCTCCTCTTCAGTGGTGACCGAGTTAGCCAAGGCGAGCCTGACCAACTTGGCAGCATCTGTCAGACTGCCAGCGCCTAGCGTCACGAGACAGTCGACGTCGAGTTTCGACGCATCATTGACGACTTCGAGGACTTGTGCAATTGGAGTATGCGGATTAATGCCTATTCTGACCCCGACAATCCTGCTATCAAGAGCCGAGCGAAGTTTGTCAAGCGCATCTGTAGATTGCGCCAAAGACTTGGAACAAATCACATACACCCTGGAACTCGCAAAGGTATCGCGACAGTGACGTAAGCAGGCCTCATGGAATTTGAGCCCGTATGAGACTTTGGGCGTTTCTCGGCCTTCGTAAGCTGGATAACACACTTCTTTTCCAAACGCGAAAGTCATGATTGCTTGCAACTATGATGTCTGACACCGTGGAAAGCTGCTCAGTCTGCAAAAACTCAATCAAGGACGACAATACAGGGTAGGATGAGAATGAGCGGACAGGACGCCCCTCTCGCTGAAGTGAGCTTAGCGCTGCCATGGCAAACGCGTTCCACTTCCTCCCCACATGGAACGCGCGTGACGCGTGTGAACTCTTCTCCACATAAGCATGGGGAACTCCACGTACGGAATTACGGAGATAGACTGAAGCCATGATGTGGGACCCCAGAACAGGGATAGTGCGCAATTGCCAGCCAGCATCACCAACACCATGGAGGGACAGAGTTGAGATTGCCTTGTTGCAATTGGAGATACAGAAAGTACAAGGGAAAAAGCAATGGCGAGTCTTGCAAGGCGTTTGAAACCACTGTCGACAAAGTCACCTAGTGATATAGTCATTCTATCAGCTGTTCGCAGTCCCATCACACGAGCGTTCAAAGGAGGGTTCAAAGATGCGTGGCCAGAAGACATTCTGGCGCCGGTAAAGCTGATCCCATCATAGTCGATCACAGAAACTCTGGCTGATATGATCTTTAGGTTATGGCCGAAGCGGCATTGCGGGCCAAGATCCAGGCTGGAGATGTTCAAGATGTTCTGATAGGGAATGTCCTCGCGGAGTTGGGCTTTGCAAAGACTGGTAGAATGGCACTCTTGCACGCTGGCTTTCCGACCTCAACGACATTTCACACCGTCAATCGACAGTGTTCAAGTAGTCTGCAAGCTTTAACTCACATGGCCCATGCCATCCAAGCGGGCCAGATAGATGTCGCTCTCGCTGGAGGTGTCGAAAGCATGTCGAAAAACTATCAGTCGAGAGGAATACCCCAAGGCGTGGGTCCGACGCTGCGTAACACCAAGGTCAAAGCAGCTGCAGACTGTCTCATGCCGATGGGCATTACGTCAGAGAATGTGGCCAAGAGATATGGAGTTGATCGCAAAATGCAAGATGAGTACGCGCTGTTGAGTCATACTCGTGCGAATGAGGCTGTTGCAGCTGGTAGTTTTGAAGCGGAGATAGTACCGATTGAGTATACGGCTTACAACAGCGAAACTGGAGAGGCTTCGCCGGTTCGAGTTGCTGCAGATGATACTATCCGGCCACACGTGACTTTGGAAAAGTTGGCCAAGCTCAAGCCAGCATTCCTGGAGGACGGTGGTAGCACTGCTGGTAACTCGTAAGTACAGTGCGACATACATCTGCTTAGCTCCATTAACCACCGGCAGGTCCCAGATATCCGACGGCGCATCAGCAGCCATCCTAGCCCGCCGCTCATGGGCAACCAAGCGCGGCCTAAAACCAATAGCTCGATTCCTCGGAACCCAAGTCGCAGGCTGCGAACCCGACGAAATGGGCATGGGACCAATCTATGCCATTCCACGATTGTACAAGCATGTCGGTATAGAGCAGAAAGACGTTAATGTTATTGAACTCAATGAAGCATTTGCAAGTCAGACTCTGGCGTGCATTAATAAATTGGGCTTGGATGTTGATAATGTTAATCCGAATGGTGGTGCTATAGCTATTGGACATCCGACTGGAGCTACTGGGACGAGGCAGCTTGCGACGCTGCTGGCTGAACTTGGGAGACGGGGCGACGAGATTGGTGTTGTTAGCATGTGTGCTAGGTAAGCCGTCTACATTCACACGATTTAGGTGATACTGACACGCTTTTCAGTACTGGAATAGGAGTTGCATCTGCTATAATCATGGAATAGTTTGGCTCGATAATGCATTGGAGATAAATATTACCTCATTCGCATCGTGGAAACACGAGGTCTATGTAGATATCGCAAGCATGACAGGCAGAGTGTTGCTAGAAGCGATGAATAAATATTGCTACACTACTACTACATACAGACTCTGATTATCCACCGACGGCCTTCTTCTCTCTAAGTCTCCCAATCTCAGCTGTATCCAACCCCAGTACATCTCTCAAGACTTCGTCGGTATGCTCGCCCAGTAATGGCGGTGGTGTCCGGATCGAAGGTTGGGTCCTGGAATACTTGACAGGGCTGTTCAGAACTTTCAACTGCCCACATGCAGGATGTTCAATCTCCTTTATCATATCCCTCGCCACAACTACATTAACATCATTAGTCTTCCATCGCTACTGTGCCAGTATTACGTACCGTGTGAGTGCTCCAGCGTGTCCTTGATATCGTTGATCTTGGCATATGCCAGACCAGTACCCTCAAAGATATCGAGCCACTCTTTGGATAGCTTTGAGCTTGTAATATCCTCGATCATTCTTTCGAGTACATCCCTGTTCGCCACCCGTGCAGAGTTTGTAGAGAAGCGTTCATCAGTGGCCCAATCATCTTGACCAATACATTTGCATAACACACCAAACAGTCGATCATTAGCCCCACCAATGAGGATGTCGCCGTCTTTGGTGCGGAATGCGCGGTATGGTACGACAGATGCTGAAGATTGCTATTAGTCTGAGTGACAGTCCTACTTTGTGGAGCGACTTACGATGTGACGTTCCATATCGCCCCCCATCCCTCTTCCCCGTTACCAACACAGATTGCGCCATGTTCGCCAAAGTCGCGACCTGACAATCACTCAAGCACACATCCAACGCCTGTCCCTGCCCAGAATGACTCCTCTCAATCACAGCAGCTAAAATACTATTAACCGCATATAGTCCAGTTGTCAGGTCAGTAACTGCAACGCCAACTTTGACCGGCGGTCCATCCCGTGGGCCCGTGATGTGCATCAGACCCATCTCAGCTTCAACCATGACATCAAAACCCGCACGACTGCTATATGGACCTGTCTGGCCATAACCAGTTATACTCGCGTAGATAAGCCGAGGGTTCGTCTTGGCAAGCGTATTGTAGTCGAGTCCGTATTTCTTTAGAGTTCCGGGGAGGTAGTTCTCGACGATGATATCAGCTTTCGCGGCGAGAGTTTGGATTAGTTTTGCCCCTTCTTTTTCCTTGAATGACACTGCTACAGATCGCTTGTTCCGGTTCACCTGTAGTTAGAGTGGTAAGCTTGTAATTCCCGTCAAAGTCTAGACAGTGCAAGACTTACCGATAAATAATATGCACTTTCGCCCTCGCCGCCTCGTCCATCTTTATAAGGCGCAAAGGGAGGTCCCCATGCTCTCGTATCGTCGCCACGTGTCGGATGTTCGATCTTAATAACTTCAGCTCTGTCAAAATGTCAGAAATGTGATAGATTGGAGAAGCGAGTTGCTACGAACCCTAGATCGCCGAGAATTTGAGCGCAATATGGCTTTCTGGTGTTAGCGCTAGCTCAAATATCGGCCATACGTGAAGTGCTTACACCAGCGAGAACTCGAGATATGTCCAAGACTCTGATTCCCGTTAGAGGCAATCTTGGGCTTGCCGCTGTCGCATTGCCTCTTCTGCTCAATGCCGAGCGCCAAAGCGGGGCAACAAGCTTTCTTCGGACGGTTAACATTGTGGTGAACTCATAACACTGACAGCAAGAGTCGCGGGGCGTCGGATTGATGATATGCTAAAGATGGATTGACGCGTATAAGAGTTGCTGTATCATCATTCATGAAAGTATAAACACTTCACCTCGGCACTTCTGGTGTCTCAGTCCCACATACGGTAACTGACAATAACATTTGCATGTGGGGTTTGCCCAATGGCGCTACTGTCTGTACCCTTGTCCATGATGAGAATATTCATCTACAACAAGGCAATTGACTCTTGAGAGAACCGCCTTGGCGAAAATTGAGTACGACTTCACTCGGCTGTAAGCTAAATCCTGCAACAAGAAATTGAACTAGACTTTCCGATTCACTTCATACGACCGTTGGACTTGCTTTAATCCAGAACCATGATGAGATCAGCTTTCCGTGCACAGGCCCCAACTCGCCTATGGAGTTTCACGCAGCGCAGCTTCTCGACCTCCACCGTCTTGCGAAGGATCAACAAAATCTGTGCCTCAGAGAACGACGCCGTTCAGAAAGTGAAAAGCGGATCGACCGTTCTGGTCGGAGGCTTTGGCTTCTCTGGTGTTCCCGAATCACTTATTGAAGCTGTCGCCGCGCGAAAGGATCTCAAAGATCTGACCGTCGTCTCAAACAATGCTGGCATGCCTGGTGTCGGACTTGGTACGTCCGCTGATAACCCTGCTGATCACCGTGTTAATATTAGTAGGCCGATTGCTGGAAACACGACAGATCAGTAAAATGATTGCATCGTATATCGGAGAGAACAAGGTCTTTGAGAAGATGTACTTGAGTGGAGATCTTAGCCTTGAATTGATACCGCAGGGAACGATGGCGGAGAGGTGCGCTTCTGGGGCAGCTGGTGTGCCAGCATTCTATACCCCAGCTGCATATGGCACTGTTGGTAAGTGTGATACCTCGAAAAGAGCGATAAGAGGCTAACATGCCGCCTGTTTAGTTCAGACAGGCGAGCTACCTGTTCGATATAACAGAGACGGCTCTGTAGCCCTCATGTCGCGACCACGAGAAACGCGCGAGTTCCACGGCAAGAAATACATACTCGAAGAAGCAATCTTCGCCGATGTTGCTCTAGTCAAGGTTCACAAAGCGGATAGACTGGGCAATTGCACATTTCGGAAAGCCCAAAACAACTTTAACGAGGCCATGGCCAAGAACGCCAAGTTGACTATTGTTGAGGCTGACGAGATCGTTGATGTTGGGCAATTGAATCCTGAGAGTGTTCATATTCAAGGGATTTATGTCGATGTTATCATTCAGAGTACGAGGCCGAAAAAGATTGAGAAATTAACGTTTGCTCAAGATGCCAACGGTGAAGGCAAAAGTGAGTGGAGCCTGACGTATCTTCCGAGCTCGACCATTGCTAACTCTTGCAGTAACAAGCGCCAATCAAAGGCGAGAACGTATTATCAAACGAGCGTCGAAGGAGCTGAAAGATGGCATGTACGTCAATCTCGGTATTGGAATGCCACTTGCGACCCCAGGCATGCTTCCAGATGACCTCGAAGTTATTCTTCAGTCCGAGAATGGTATCCTGGGCATGGGGCGATATCCAAACCCTGGGGAGGAAGATCCAGATCTCATCAATCCTGGCAAAGAAACGGTGACGTTGAACCCTGGTGCTTCGACGTTTGGAAGTCATGAGAGCTTTGGTATGATTAGAGCTGGGAAGATTGACTTGACTATGCTTGGTGCGCTGCAGGTCAGTCAATACGGAGGTATGTCTTTTCTTTCCTTCATGTAAAGCGACAGAGACTGACTTGTAAAGACTTGGCCAACTTTATGCTGCCTGGAAAGGTCAAGGGCATCGGAGGTGCCATGGACCTGGTTGCCAGCCCAGAGAAGACAAAGGTCATCATCACCATGGTGCGTACTACCTCAGATTTGCCAAGATGAACAAGTCACTGATAGATATTTCTAGGAACACGTTGACCGCAATGGAAACCCAAAGATCCTGGAAGGTAAGTCGGACGTTGCGATTAACAAGCCACAGTTGCTGACGCCTAGTAATAGAATGCACATTCCCGCTCACCGGTCCTCGATGTGTCTCTAGAATCATCACTGACCTAGCTGTATTTGACTGTACACCCGAGGGTCTCGTACTCAGGGAGCTGGTGGATGAGGTTGAGATGGATGAACTCAAGAGCAAAACGGGCGCGTCGTTCAGGATTGCTGATGACTTGATACCGTACCAGACTTAGCCACGAGGAGAATAATTAGCATGTAACCTATCAATTTGTCACCGTTTCGCTGATTGACCGACTCAGGCGTGAATACGATGAACTGATGATTCATATGTAGGATGTCTATTAAGATCTATCTGACGACTTTTTACGACGCATTTTCAGCCAAGGTATCGTCAACCATTCGCTGCGCAGACCCTAAATAATTAATAGGATCACAAAGCCTCTCCAGATCACCCAAAGACAGATGCTTGGTCACCCTCCCATCCTTCTTCAACGTCTCAAGCAACGTTTCTCCATCCTTACTCTCAATAGTAACCTTACAAGCCTCATACACAATATCATGCGCATCCTGCCTCCCCACAAACTTCGCCAACGCCATCATCAACGCCTCACCAACAATAAGTCCCCTCGTAGAAGCAAGATTATCCGCCATACGTTCCTTATCCACAACAAGCCCAGCAAGCGCAAACTCAGCTTGATGAAGCGCTCCAACTGCTATGACGAAGCTCTCAGGTACAGCTACCCATTCAAGATGCCAAGGTCCTGATGCGCGTTCAAAATCAGAGACCATGCCGTCGAGGACGAGGCTGGCGTTAGAGCGTAAAATTTTCGAGGCGGCGAGGATGACTTCGCTGGAGATGGGGTTGCGCTTTTGGGGCATTGTGGATGAGGCGCCGCGGTGGGGGACGAAGGGTTCTGCCACTTCGCCGAGTTCGTTGGAGGACATGATTATTAGGTCTAGGGCGATCTTGCCGAGGGAGCCGCCGATCAGAGCGAGGAAATTGGTCACTTCTGCGATACCATCGCGGGCAACATGCCAGGTAATAGATGGGTTCTGCAGGCCCAGTTCTGCAGCGAATTGCTTTCGCACATTGACGCCTTCGGGACCATCGCCGAGGGACGCCAAGGTTCCAGCTGCACCGCCATACTGAACAACAAGAACACGACTCTTCAACTGCTGAAGCCGTTCTCTATGGCGGTATAGGCTCGATAGCCAGACAGCGCATTTGTAGCCAAAGGTAACAGGTAGCGCATGCTGTAGATGCGTCCTACCAGCCATAGGCGTATCGCGATACGTAACCGCAAGATGTTGAAGGGCATTAATCACGCCAGTCAGCTTGGTCTCAACGATATCAAGACCAGACTTGATCTGTAACACACTCGCTGTATCCATGATATCCTGTGTCGTGGCGCCCCAATGTAGATACTTCCCAGCAGAGCCACACATGCCGTTCAGCTGACGCACTAGAGGCAGGATGGGATAGCCGACGACATCAGTCTCGTTGCGCAGCCTGTCCATGTCGAGGCTGGTAGCATTGGCTTTGGAAGTGATGTCAGCTGCAGCATCGGCGGGAATGACATTGCATTGGGCTTGGGCTCGGGCTAGAGCAGCTTCAACGTCGACGCATCTGTTGATGTAGGCTTGATCGCTGAAGACCTATCACATTAGTTAGCCAATTGTCACTGAATGAGAGTGTTGGCACGGTGACTTGCATTGCGAATCTCGTCGGTACCGAACAAGTTACGGAATATCACAGAGTCAATCGCACTGACGGAGCCAATTGCACGGCGCTGGACAAGCGTTGGCAGCTGTATACTGGTATTCCAGCGGTGTGGATGAGCTTGACGAGTGATTTGGGTGAGTACCCTGCAAGATTGACGTGCGCGCAGCATGATTGACGACAAGGAAGAACACCAATAGTGACAGTCTAGGCGCAGTAATCAGGCAACTACCGTAATTTGATATCAGTTGGCAGTCCCACACGTTGAAAATTAATTAAACATACGACGTATTCATAAGGTTGAGGGGTAAGAATGATGCCTCTGGTCTGATTATGTGGGAGCTCCATATCCCCACATGCGACGTCAGGTCTCCCACTTACTGGCCCATTTGCGCATCTGCCGCTCGATAACATGCATGGGACTTACACAACCTCTGTACTAATACACCCGGGGAATAAAAGGAAAATGAACAATCAGATTAGATCCAAGCCATCTTAGACTTGAATAATTCCAACATCCATATCACATCCCTAAAAGACTACCCATCAAACATCAGTATGGTCGCCGCCATCAAGAGACGTGAACCCGCCACAGATCCCCAAAAAGTCTTCCACTACACAGACCTCCAGCGCACCAAGCCAACCCGCGAGAATGACCCCTACGAATACCTCGCAGGCTGGGGCAACCGCCATCAATCAGAGGTCATACCCGGAACTCTCCCCGCCGGCCAGAACAACCCCCAAGACAGAGGTTTTGGTCTGTACACTGAGGGTATCACCTACTCTGCTTTCGCAGCTCCTCGCGGCTTCAACATGAGCACGTACATGTACCGCGCTCGACCATCTGCTGCTCATCAGGGGTATTCTAGTATTGAGACAAAGTCTCATATTGAGAATTGCTTTTTGTCGTTGAATTCCAAGGTTGAGCCGCTGTATCAGCAGGCTGAGTGGTCGCCTTTTCCGTTGCCGGGGGATGATGAAGTGGTTGATTTTACGGATGGGTTGCATACGCTTGCTGGAAGTGGGGATCCTAATCTGAGACAGGGTATTGCTGTTTATGTTTACATGATCAATGCTTCTATGGTCAACAAGGCGTATTGCAACACGGATGGCGACTTTCTCATCACTCCTCAACTCGGAATCATAGACATCCAAACCGAGATGGGTCGTCTTTTTGTCCAACCAGGCGAGATCTGTGTTATTCAGCGTGGTGTACGCTTCCGCATCAATCTTGCAGAAGGTGTTCCGGTTGCTCGTGGCCATATCGCTGAGGTTTGGGGATCTATGTGGGAGCTCCCTGACCTTGGGCCTATAGGAGGACACGGCTTGGCTAACCCTCGAGATTTTCTTTATCCTGTCGCTCACATCGACGAGGATCTACATGTACCTTTCAAGATCGTCGCCAAGCATAACGGAAAGCATGTTGTCATCAGTCAGGATCATAGTCCGTTTGATGTTGTTGCATGGCATGGGAATGCAGTTCCCTACAAGGTGAGATTCCAACGCAATGATACTAGCAAAACACATACTAACTGCATCAGTACGATTTAACAAAGTTCGCGTCTCAGAACAGCACCAGCATTGATCACACTGACCCAAGCATCAACACTGTTCTGACAGCAAAGTCATTCGATCCCCATGTTCCGCTTGCAGACTATCTGTGGTTTGGTCCACGATGGGATGTAGCTAGCAATTCTTTGCGCGCGCCATACTACCATCGTAACAGCGCAACAGAGATGTTGGCTTGTATCTACGGAGCAGGACTCGGCCGGTCCGATGACTTCTTGCCCGGTGGCTGCAGTTACGAGGGCGGACATACTCCACATGGTGGCTTCGGTGAGGAGTACATCACCGAATCCATCTTACAGCACAACGAACCTCGCAGAATCTTAGAGAGTAAGTAACATACCATGAGAAATATGACAAAGTTACTGACTTGGAGATAGATCAAATGACCATCATGGTAGAGTCATCACGCACATTCCTCTTCACAGAGTATGCCCGAGAGATCTGCGGTGTTCTCCACAAACAAGCCACCGACTATCGAGTTTGGGATAATCTGCCTGATCGCTTCTCAGCACATCCTTTGACCAAGCAGCTGCTTGAACGTGTTGCGAAAGATAAGGCGAACCAGAAGAAGGCGGTTGACTATTATCACTCGGTTCAGTTGCTGGACCCCAAGGGTCAGCCGACGCAAGTGCTTCCTCATGAGACTAATGGGCATGCAAAGATTGGTGCAGTCGATGCAGCGGTTTGGAACTAGGTTAATGTTAAGGATTGATCTTGAGCGAAGTGTCTTGTATATGTATTTAGTAGCGCTATAGGTTCTCGCGTATGAATGGTATCTTCTCCCGTAACGAACCTTTATATGTGCTCCAGCTAATTGTACATGCAAAACCGCCAACGCTCTAAGTGTGAACTCACTTCAATCACCACCCAAACGGTCGTCGACTTCGATCAAAGAGTCGCTCATTATCCGTAGAATATGACACAGTTCTTTCGCATTCCACTTCCCAACCTCTTCTAACAAGCTCGCAAACTCGAGCAAGATCATCTTGGCAGCATTATATCCCGCTTCACACACTGTTCCCGAAAAGCTAATACTTCCTCCATTATGTATAAACTGACTTGCTGTATTATCCCCAGCATGCTCTACTATAGACATTGGGTCACATAGATTAGTCCAGTCGATATCGTTGAGTAACTCAAATGACTCTGTGTCAGCATCAGTATGTCCTTCGTTCGGTTGCATCATAAAGACGTAAAGTCCCAGGACAAGCGCGGCAGTGAATAAGGACATGTCGGAGTGGAGCATTACACCATCGTTTGCGCGTCTTCGGCTCATGGCGACGTATATACCTGCAGCGTGGAGACAGGCTCGTCGTGCATACTGGGTCTGACTCCAGTTGGCGATCTCTTGTAATGCAGCGTATGCGCTCTCAGCTCCGTTGCGACCGGAAGCCATTTCGAAGATTTCAAGATTGGCCAGTACGTTGAGGTTGAGGAAGTGCCATTGGGCGATACAGTTGGGGTTCCGGTATCGCAGAAACCTCGAGTAGTTTGTGTAGATATCGCCTAGCACACGAAGAATGTTATTGCCTGTCTCGGTCGAAGCATCGACACTGGCGGTAGGCTGATCTCCATTTATATCCCTTGCTCCTCTCGACTGGTGCTGATGTTGAAGAATGCGTGCCCAGATGACAGATAACAAGCCAGTCATGCCAATGGGTGATGTTTCTTGCAGTGGTGTCAATGTGATAGACGGAGCGTGCATTCGTATTATGACAGGTTCTGTGGTTGGATTGGTGCCAGCGTTGCGACAACCACTCCTCCATGACTTTGCTGATGACGACCGGTACAAGTCGATTGATGCTGACATCTCCAATTGCACCACGGAAGTACAAATGAGTGGCTCTGTGTTTTGTCTGGAGGCCCACCATGCGTCAATCATTATCACTGTCGATATTAATCTAGATAAAGTTTTCAGCATCGGCGACGCTGGGGTTCAAGAGAGAGATATACCTCTTAAAACTTTCCGTTCGAGCCCATGCTTTCCACGCCCAGTCATCGCTCTGTGCTGGGTCATGAATGACTCTGGCCGAGTTCGCTTGGCTGAGTAGGTTGTCGATACTAAACGCTGAAGATCGCGGCATCAATAACCCTGACATTTTTACAAGCTGAAAGTACGTCATGTCGTCAGCTTTGGGCGAGAGGAGAAGAACGGAAGGGTTTAAACGTACGTTCATGGTCTGGTTGTAAAGCATCCTGGACAAGAAGGCATCGCGAGCACCCTACAAGCCGTATCAGCATTTGGTCCCCGGGTCTGAGTATCAGAAGAGGGCTAACATGTGGTGAGCTTATCGACCAGGCCATCAGAAGTAAAGCAGCGGACGCAAGGCGCTCGACAAGCTGCGCCGATCCATCAGGGCCAAATGACGGTATCGCTAATTGAGAACAGCATTTCTCCGTAGCTGCCTGTACATAGTCAGCATGGTCCTCCATTCAGTCACGGAAGATAGTGGCATTACTGGCAAGTAGTGTGCGGTGAATGGCTTCACATATGATGAGTCCAGAATAGCCAGACCTAGGAGACATAATGAGAAGACAACTGAGTTAGATGCTGACTTTGCTGAAAACGTGGGTTGGTGTATAAATGGGACGAGAGAATGAGGCTGTCGAAATGCAATGGTGAGACCAAGGTTCAATAGTCTCGCGGGTAGAAATTCAACGCTGGAACTCGGTGACCCGAACTCTCGGATGAGATCCTGTCTCTTTTCTTCGTCCATTCCCCATCTCGATTCATTCTCAGTACCAATTGTTGAGCTTGGTGACGACTGCGAAATGGAGACATCTGTAAATATACCATCACCACGATAGTTTACCACGTCCGCCCAGACTTTAGAGGCGATTTGACTTGCTGAGTGTGTTCGGTTCCTGGGCCATAGAGCCGCTACTCTTGCGAAGCGCTCGAGGGGGATACTGCTGACAGGGTCGACGCTGTTACTCGAAGCTTGAGATCCGCGAACACCAGGTGAAGTTTCGCCAAGACCAAAGTCGAGAAAGTCCAAGTGGCTGAGATTGGGTTGTAATAATTCCAGAGCTCCAGCGTAATGCAGAAGATCTGTGTTGCTCATCGACGTGAGGGATGCTTCATTATTCCCCCAAGGACCCGACGAGGCCGCAGTGTGAGAATGAAATACATTTGCCCTGGTGCTCAATGACACTCCAGGACTGAGAAATTCGGCATTGGCGGTGAACAAAGTCGGGGTAGCTGTCTCCAATGATGTCTCTACCATATGATGCGAGAAGCTCATCGGCGATAGCTCATTATTCTGCTGGCCAATAGCAGGGGAATGGTTCGCAGGCCGTCGATCATCAAAAGAATCCTCCAAAGCCAACTTCGTGGAATCGGTCGGCTGTTCGTGGAGAGCTTGCAGCATTGATACCGTAGCCAATGCGTCAAGATCGGACGTTGAGAACTGCGCCATCGAGTTATCGACAGTTACAGAAGCATCCTCCTGCTGTTGTGGCTGCGCATCATCGCGCATATGATTATCCTCTTGCTGATCTGTGTCGCCTTCCGATCCTTCCTCCGTCTCCAGTGGTGGTATCGAACAGACATTTATGGAATCGGCCAGTACACTCTGTCGGCGCTGTCGGCTCTTCTCGTTTGTTGAGACATCGGATCTTCGGCGCTCTCTCTGTTCACTGTTTGGGTGAAAGTATCTAACATGGCGAAGGAGGACATCGCTATTACAGTCAATACTAGCATTGTCAAAAAATGAGAGGGCTTCTTACCTCCGTGCATAACCGCGACCGCATGTATCGCATCTATATGGCTTCTCCCCTGTATCTAAGCAAGGGTCAATTTTGGCGATTGAGATGGTTCCATGTGGGGATGATCTTACGAGAGCGCTCGTGGCGGAGAAGATGCTCTGTCTTGTGGAACGTTCGGTGGCAGTATGAGCAGCCTTTCATGATCTTAACGACGCGGGGTTGGCATTGAGTAAATGTGTTAGACGAGACACGGCCCTAAACAATGCCGCAAGGTAAAATGAATACTCTAAACACGCAAAGGGCCATGAATAATGCCTCTGAAGCTGCGGCTCCGCTGGTGCAATGACGAAATCTGGGGTTGTCGCGGGGTAAGAAAAACATCAATTGTAATGTGTTGTTTCTGTCTCACATGCAAGGCATCTATCCAACCCCTGGAAAGAGAAATGCGGTCTGGGCTCTTCTCTGCAGTGAGTCTGCACCTGGTACCGCTTCATCTGCCGAAGCAGATCGACATGGTCAAGCGGAAGATCCGGGGTACATGGATTACAGAGGCTCAGCCTTTCCAACGCAGCCAATCAGATAGTGTCAAGTTGAGTAGATGACCTTTACCCCGCAATCCTGAGGATAGAGTTTAATAACAGCTTCGATAGCTCGGTTAAACAGGCGCTGGTTCAGAATTGCTTACCCTGGATCTATGTGGGGCTTTCTATTGTCATGATCATGATGGTATGTGGGACAAGATACAAGATGGCAAGGAGAAGTAAGAAAACTTGTGACCTTTATGTAAAGTCATAAAGAGACTTAAATTAAACTTGGTAAAGTTTAATCAATATTGAGGCCAGTCTAATCTAGTACCTCGTTGAACATCACAAGTTTTAGGTATCCTGAGAGATAGAGCTTAGGATCATCGCAGTATGAGCAGTGCATTACGTATGATAGTACATGAGAATAATAAGTAGTTCACGACTTATGATTATAGATGACTAGTCTCAATTTTAAATATCCTATGGCCCTAGCTAGTTGTACTGGGATAAAAACGCTTCCGCACTCTCAAGCTCCCTCTTGATTGCCTGAACATGAGCTGCACTTCGCGGCTTGATATTCACCTTGTAGGGTAGCGGGCACACCAAGTTTGCCGACGTATATGCATCTTGATCCAGTGGTTTAACCTTCCCGGTTACAGGATCAATTGGCTCAGAGAACTCAAACGCCCACAATAACTTGGCTGTGATTCGCCACATACTACGTTCGGCCAGATGAATTCCGGGGCAGATGCGTCGTCCAGCACCATATCCATAGTGATGTAAAACTGGAAGTTAGCTAGTTGCTCTCAGTACTGCTGGGGAAATGGACTTATCTCGTTTCTCATAATCTGGGCCAACGGCATACTCGTTTGCTAGCTTTGTATGAGATAGGTAGCGGTCCGGGTCGAAGGTGTCATGACTTCCGTAGTAATCCTTGTCGTGATGCATCGCCCATACACCAACGAAGATGGTACTTCCCTTGGGGATCAACATTCCATCGTAGTAGTCATCTGTCAAAGGTTAGTTACCGAATGAACGTTTCCTATCCTAGTGTTGTCGAGACTTACCCTTGGTGACGGTATGAGGCAGCCCTAGATCGGAACTATGACAGTTAGCACCTGATGAGGAGCATCTCAAGTCCCAGGTAAACTCACGTTGGTCTCCATCGCAAACCTTCCTTCACGATAGCATTCACATAAGGCATCTTCGCAAAGTCCGAAAAGACAGGTGCTCGTTCCGTACCGCAAACAGCATCAATCTCCACTCTCGCCTTCTCCTGGAACTTTGGATATTTCGCCAAAGCCAAGATCAAAGTAAGAATCTGATTCGCCGTGGTATCAGCACCTGCTTCCATCAACTCGCCGAAAAGATTGTTGAAGGCGTGCTGCGACATGGGCCAGCCGTTCTTTTCATACTCATCCAACTTCATATCGATCATGCATTCTCGACGATCACCTCTAGCGCGTCGGTCATCGACCATTGCTCGTGCTTGGCTCCAGACTTTATCCATGTGATCTCGCATTTTGTAGACGCGGGACTTCCATTTTCCGGGGATATACCAGAGCCATGGGATGAGGTCGACGGGAGGTGTAGCACCGGGTTCGATCGCCTCGAGCCACTAGAAGTAAAGTTAGACTACCAAAGAGATGCTACAGGATACGGTATTTACCTTTTCAATCATGGCAGAGACATCCTTGTACCAGAATGAATCCAGAGTGGTCGCTCGGAAACCCCAGGCCAGGATAGCAGCCACAGAAGATGCATACAGGCGTGAGTACGAGTAGAAATTGCTGGGATCATCCAAAAGACGGTTCATCAAGATAACGGCCCTGCAAACCGCCAAGTCAGCTCGCCCACCATGTCATGATGCAAGCCTACTTACTCAGTCTCTTGCACTCTAAAGTGCTTCTCATCCAAAGACTTTGGGTTCAAATTGCGTGTCACGACAGTTCTCTTTTCGCGCCAAGACGGACTCTGACACTCCATGGTCATATGATCACCTCTTGTGATGAAGAGCGGGACGATGTTAGGAGGCCGATCTGAGTAAATGCTGCCCTTCTTGTCGAGAAGCTCGTGCACAGCTTTACGGTCGCAAATGACAATGATATTGCCGGAGCCGATTTTGAGAGAGAATATTTTGCCGTACTGCAGAGACCATTCCATGAACCTGGAATTTGTTAGTGGCCACTTATGCCGTGTGATTGCAGTGTTCGTACTTCTTTCCGAGGCCAGTGGTGGGAATCATGTGCATGTTGCCCAGGATCGGGACCGTAGGAGGCCCCGGAGGCATTCGAGGATCTCGTTTGCCAACTTGGAGCAGCCAATACAATGTTAGAGCGACTGCGGCACCTACAAGGCCGTAGATAAACGTAGGGGAGGCCATAGCGACGTTTGTGCCAGGTTGATCGCGATGCGGATGATGCAACTGTACTCAAGTAGAACAACAAAAGAAACGCGGTTATCATGAACCAGTCAATCTGGGCTGGGGAAGCTTATACAGGAAGACCCCTCACTCTGAGAGCTACAGAAGAGATCGAGACCCGGGTTAGTGGATCTTAGTGAGTAGGCAACAAACTATCATTCCTTTCTTGGTCTCCGAAGTTCGTGCGAAGCTAGGTTCGGCTTGCTGACTTCTACACTAACCGCCCCTCTGTACTTCCCCGCAGTTTCCAGTGACTGTACAGCGCTGACGTCCTGCAGCTATAGCCTAAAGGTATGATTGTAAGGCATGATACAACGCATTCAATGATGAAAGATTTTGAATTAAGTTATAATTTCTTGCAAGTATAGTAGTTTGTTACTCAACCGTTGAGATCAGAACGTACAGGCCAGATTTATAGCCTGAAACATCCAAGAATTGAATTGACTACTTCCTTTCCATAACGTATCATGATCAAATGCATCTTTGTAAGCAGCTAGGGGCCAAACATGGATCAGGGTCAACCAAAGAGCATGTACAAATAAGGTTTGATATCTATATGATGTACTGTTTGATCTAGCCCTTGATCCCTAGATGGCCGTTAAAGGCCTGAGACCGATGTGTTTCGCTACGAATACAGTTCGCTTTCAAACCATCAACAAGTTCTTGCATTCGACTGGATCGCTCCAATGAATTCCACTGGTCCTCCGAGGGCAGCCTACAACGAAAGACATGTCAGTCGGAGTAGCACCAAGAGCATGCGACCGTCGTTGGACTCACCTTAGCCATATACTTGCCATGCTCGTATCCCGACATTCCTTCAGCACCAGTGCACTCTGAACCTGAGGAGAGCCAGAAGCCAATTCCTCAGCGAATTGTGCTAGTCCTTTTAACATCTCGTTTCTCAGATTCTCATCCTGAGCCCAATAGTGCTTCACAACCACGAAACTCTGCACAGAATCTCTTTCGACATCATCAGCCCTCTTGAGAAACCCTGCGTATTCATCGTAATGATGGAGGTCGTAGTCCGGACTTCCCAGCCCTTGGGTCGTTCGTAGAAGTTCGTCCTTGTCAACGAGCGCCATCTCTCTTTTGAAGATATCCGATGAAACATGGTCGATGAAGAATCCAATGGGGTGCGTATATCCTTCTAGACCCCAGAGCGTGTCGGGCTCACCATCGACATCTTGACCCCAGTAGTACGAGTCGCCGTATGGTTCTGTAGCTGACACTTTGCATAATTCAACAAGCCGGTCTTTCCACTGATGAAATGTGTTAGTTTATTCTTAGAGAGATGAATGTTTGACCATACAAGATCAATGGCTCCATCTCGCCCAACAACGCGTGCGATGACAAAGAACTTGGGTGTCATAGCTACTTGTTAGACGCAAGAATTCAAGATGGGTCAGCGAGACACCTAATGGGTTGGATCAAATGAATATAGCATTACTCTGTATGTTCGTGATGGCATGTAGATGAGCGGCGTATTATCGGTGCACCGACACTGAGCAAGATGCTACGCCAGAACGCTGTCAACGGACGCACTAATTTCGGTGGATGCACCATCTGCACAGCATCGATCTCTCACCGAGAAAAATAACTTTGGTTAAAGTAATCGCCGACTTTCTCCTCAAATTTCTAATACTCATTGCTTGTAGTTCATACTCAATACTGATCCTCTGTACTCAGCGCAATGCCGACCTCCCAAGCTCTCCAATTAATTGTTATTCCGCATCGACCAGCGGCCAATGCTGAAATCGAGCGAGATCTTGCGCCGGCTATTTCAATACTCAAAAGGTGAGTCCGAACCATCAACCACTCGACATGACTAACATACATACTTCTTAGGGCGTCTGGCCTAAAGTCCTTCTGGAGCGGCAGAAAATTCGAAGATCGATATACAAAAGTATATCTAGCTCTGTGGGATAATCTAGAGTCATCCCATTCATTCTTCACAAGCTCTGAGTATGAAAAGTTCCATAGCGTCATTCAACCAGCTCTGAATGGGCGCAAAGTCACATGGACATCTCACGCACTCATGGATCACTCACCGCTCAGTGACCATCAACACCTCTCAGATACTCTCAAATCGCCTGCTATGGAGGTCGCATTGACGAAAGTGGTTGAAGGTGGTGTCTCGGGTTACTACTCACAGTTCAACAAGGTGGTTACCCGTGTGCTGGACGAGGAAGATGGGTGTAAGGGCTACTTTATCAGTCCTCTAATTGAGAATCCTGAGGATCAACTGTTATTGATCAATTGGGACTCTGTAGATGTGAGTAGAGACACTTAAGCCCAACTGGTTATTGCTGGGTTGAAGGAACATACTGACTGAATGACAGGCTCATCATGAAATTTTCGAGAAACGGCCTGGATTTAGGGAGTGTATAGATGCCCTGAAGGACTACTATAAAGAGTTTGTCGTACCGTGGCACATTGTTGATATTAAAGAAGAGGATTTGTAGCGATAGACTGCCCTATGCTTCTCGAAGTTTATTATAACGATTTACATGCGTATCCTTGTTTCCTTCAATAGATTGGTAGCATGGCCTGGATACTGTCGACTGATCATGGATCGATGGTACGTCAGTCTGTGTATGGAGTTCCCGTGATAGCCGTACAAAGCCGCTCTCAAGACATCTATGATATAGTCCTACACATTGAATGCCGTCCACGGCCAAAGGTATCCAGTACGTACTGCGTCCTCTAAACCTAGGCTCACTTACCCCAACATTTTTATTAGTCATGGTTAAGGTCCTGAGGTTTCTATGGAGTTGAGCTAGTGGCATCAACTAAGTAGCGAGGCTCGAATAGAAGCTTTAGGTATTACTTCAATGGCATATCAATTCGTTGCTAATCATTGTTCAGCTAGCTATCTCTTCCCTACTGCTAGGTCCCCATTATTCACTCATCAGCAGGCAGCATACCCTCCATCCACAGTCCATTGTGCTAAGAAAGAGTGTCAAATTGCTGTCACGTATTGAAAATAGGAGGACAATACTTACCACCAGTGACATATGACGCATCATCGCTCAACAAAAAACACAGAACCTTAGCCACCTCGTCAGGTTTGCCCATACGACCAAGGCATGTCAACTTGCTGATCTTCTCCGAGTCAAACAACCCCTTCGCTTCACCCGCCTCAAACATCTCAGTTCGGATCGGTCCACTAATATCTCTGTTAGTATGCGGCGAGGTTTCTCAGAAGAGGGTAAAGTACGGGAGAAGAGAGTTGATGCGAATACCCTCAGTGCCAAACTCGCCAGCAACAGACGATGTAAGGCCGATGACTCCAAACTTGCTCGATGAATAAGCTGCATTGTGAGGGAAGCCTCTAAGACCGGAGGTGCTGGAGATGTTGACGATGGCTCCTCCTGGACGAGGGAGATGCGGAATCTGGGCTCTCATGCACCACATGACGCCTTTGAGATTAACATCCATCATTCGATCCCAGTCAGACTCTTCCTGTTGCGATATTGATCAGTATTCATGACTGCAATGGTAGAAGGTTGTGTCATAGCATACAATTGTCGCGCAAGTTGTACTGCCTTCTCCCCCTGCGATACCAGCAATGTTGGCGGCTCCATCGAGACGTCCGAACTCAGCAACGGTGCTGTCAATCCAATTCTGGACCTGTTGCTGGCTCCGGACGTCAACTGTTGAAGCTATGACTTTGGTACCTGCCTGTGAGCCTGTAGTACGCGCTCAGAGGTGAGTATAGAAAAGAGATCTGGGGTATTAGGACGCTGATGCTCACATAATTCCTTTGTTTTGTTGAGACCATCGACGTTGACATCGCAAATGGCCAGTCCTCCAGCCCCAAGTTCCGCTAGGCGGACTGCAGAAGCACGTCCAATGCCCGACGCTGCACCAGTAATTGCATATACTCTTCCTTTGATACCAGACATTTTCGTGACGTGTGCAAGGGAGAATTCTGATTAGATACTACTAATTATGAGGATGAAAATGCCGAGCATATGAGCTACCTATACTTCCATCTCGCATTGATGAGCTGTGACGCCGCTGGGGTCAGCTGGCTCCAGTGGTCCGGCGCCGCTAGCGTGCTCGGTTACAGTGGTCACCTTGGAATCGAGGCGCCTGGAGCAGAAGGGAATTCGGGCTAGGTTCGGCCTGACTCGGCGCACCATCTCATCAGTGAAATGTGGACTGGACTGACGATTGCTGTTCATCATGGGAAGAGAGGGGAGGAAAAGCCTGTAACATCTACGGTCAATTATCACCAACGCCTGCCGCTGATCGTCAATCTTGCCTTATAAGCCCATAGCCTCAAGGTCGTCCTAACGCCCTACTCTGTTGTCTTCAACGGTTTTAACAGCTCAATTACTTGGCCTCAACATATACTCAATATTCTACTCGCTCCCTCACAATGTCCGTCAAAGGTCGTGTTGCCATCGTCACTGGCGCAGGAGGAGGTCTTGGGCGTGAATACGCCCTCCTACTCGGAAAGCTAGGAGCCAAAGTCGTAGTGAACGACTACGGCGGTACCCTCGAAGGCCAAGCCGGAACCATCACAAGAGCCCAGTCAGTGGTAGATGAGATCAGAGCTGCTGGCGGCAGTGCTATAGCCGACGGACACGACGTCTCTGTTCAGACCCAAGCTCAAGCCATCGTCGCCGATTGCATCGCTGAGTACGGCCGTGTTGACATCCTGGTCAATAATGCCGGTATTTCTGGAAAGCCAAGTTCTCACGCAGCGCTCGATGCACCGGCGTTCATGAGGGTTATTGAGATCGGTGTCCTAGGAACGCAGCTCATGACAAGTGCTGTCTGGTCTACGATGGAGAAGCAAGGACACGGTCGTATCGTCAACGTATCTTCAGATGCCATCATTGGATTCGGTGCGGGCGGCGACTGCGCGTATTCAGCTTCCAAAGGTGCAGTCTATGCCATCACACAAGATCTTGGACGATTTGCCCCATCATGCGGAATTAAGCTCAATGCCATTTTACCTTCGGGCGCTTCACGCATGGGAGATCTCTCAGAGGCGTCAAAGATGATCACTCAGACGTACTTCGAAACCAGCAAATGTGCGCCGTTACTTGTTGCCTTGTGTGCTGATGAGTGCCCTGTATCTGGGGTGTGTATCGCTACGGGTGCGGGGAGAGCTGCTCGTGTTGCACTGGCGACGTTCCCTGGACATACGAATGAAACAACAGCGGAAGGCTTTCTGGAGAATTGGAGTAAGGTCATGGGTGATGAGAAGGATGTTTACATTCCCAAGGATACGTTGGATCATGTACGGTACGGAGTCCGCTTGGCGTCTGGACTAGAGGTGCCTGAGTTGCCATCATTGGGCATTATACCAAGTACTAGCAAATAATCACCATAGCTAATTAACCTTGAAGCATGTCGCTACGACATCCAATTTCCCCATGACAAATAATTGCGATACTGATGAGGCCTATATGCCCTTGCCAACCTCAACCCAAAGCAAACAATTTCTCGCTCAGGCGTTAGATCAGTCTTCCAATAGAGCGCGTGATGTAAGAATCAGCTGTCTGGTCTACCAACTGAAAATACCACTCTCACTCCTTCAATTCATCAAGAAGTTCCAACTTTGGGAGATTGATGATTCTCAATTGCCAGACAAAAGCACTCGACACCTTCGGTAGCCTCATGACAGCATCCAAGAACCCAATTCTCGAGCCGAAGCTGGACCGTCCGAACTCCATCCGCTAATAACCCCTCATTTCTTTTCTCCCACTAACCCTTCAGGCACCATCCTCATGTTCTAGGCGGGGTAGCAGCATTGGAGCCTCTATTTATGCTTCTTCGTAACGATGCTGTCTAAGACTACTCAAGCTGCGAGTCGCACAGACAGATAAACTTGCAACCACTTTCATTCTCAACCACCATCCCAAAGGACAAATAAATCATGACTTCAAACAGCACGCCCAGCTTAGAAGCACTTCTCCAGCGCCTCCAACTGCTAGAAGACAAAGACGCACTAGCAACCCTCCTCAACCGCTACTGCAACACAGCAGACGACCACAAATGGGACGACTTTGCCGACTGCTTCATCCCCAACGGTGTTCTCGGTTTCGAGAGCTGGGGCGATGTCGTGGGCGTTGAAAACATCGCCGCTGCTGCTCGCGGCGCAGAAGACAGATTCCAAGGCCTGCAGCATTCCATGAGTAATCTACAGTTCACTGTTGATGGAGACACGGCGGAGGGAAGATGTTATCTCTGGTTCTCTGCGACGATGGATACGAGCAAGCCGCATGAGTACCATGCTTTTGGAGGACATTATCGGTTCAAGTTTCAGAGGACGGATAAGGGATGGAAGATTGCGAGAATGCAGCTTAAGAAGATTTGGGCGCAGAATGAGGATACTGAGCGTGTATTTGGATAGGCCTAGTCAGGAAGAGGACAAGTTTGAAGGATGTTGATTCATCATTTGGCTCTCTATCTCAATTCTCATTTCCTTTGTCCCTTATGTTCTTTTAGTAAGGATCAAAGTGATTCTAATGATTCACTGTCAAATTTTCTGACATCTCAACGAGGTCTATCGAGCGGACTGAAAAGCTTCGTTTCGATAGCCAGCTCAGCACTTAAGCGGTATGCATGATCAGCCTGGTACCTTTCACACGAAGGCTTCACAAAGTTCTCCCAGCATTGAACTTCTCATTCAACGGCAATAACACGTGTAAAAGTAAGATTTCTGCTTCTGTTTATAACTCATATTTCTCATCTATGCCCAAGTCTCTCAGTCCATAACAATAACAGCACGACCCTTGAGCTTCCCATCCCGTAACTGCTGATACGCCTTCGGAATCTCATCAAATCCGAACCTATCAACCTCAATCCTTAGCTTACCCTCCTTCGCCAGCTGACACACCTCCCGCAAATCCTGTCGTGTACTTCCAAGGGACAGTGAGAACTTGGCACTAGTCGCCATCAAGTTCCATCCTAAACGCACAGATCCACCTTGCATACCAGGGACAGAGACGAATCCCTGGGGTCGGACAACACTCACTGCTAGCTGCAAGGTTGCGTCGCTTCCAACAAAGTCAACCACGCCGTCGACACCCCGATTTGAGGTAATGCGATTGATCTCGGCCTTTGATCCTGCATCGGAAAGGATAGCTTCGTCTGCTCCCAAATCCTTGGCGAGGGTCAGTCTCTCTTGTGAGTTGTCGGCAGCAATGATGCGAGCAGAAGTGAGAAGTCGAAGGAATTGCACAGCGTATGACCCAAGACCACCAATGCCAATGACCAGGAGATATTGTCCAGGGCGTGCATTTCTGAGAATATCCTTGCAGCTAGCATACGCAGTCACACCCGCGTCAGTGAGAGGAGCGTACATCACCGGATCCTCGTCACCGATAGATACAAGCTCAGTACGAGGTACAACAAGGTACTCAGCCAAACCACCATCAAAGCCACAGCCCCTAGTCATTCCAATGGCGCCTCGCTTAAAGTACTCGCAGTGCTGCTCAACCCCAGCCTCGCAGAAAGTACAGAACCCACAGTGGCGCATGTGATGTACAACGACGCTCTCTCCCTTGGACAGGTCGGTCACCGAGGATCCGAGAGCTTCAACGACGCCAGAGGTTTCGTGACCGAGAATGTAATTTGCCTCTATGGCGGAGGCGTATGGATCGCTACCAGGTGGACTGTCCATCATGTCGAGGTCTGAGCGGCAGAGACCAACCGCTTTGACGCGAATGAGAACATCAGTAGGCCCCGGAATTGGCTTTGGTGAGTCGACGTATTGGCCTTCTTGTCCCCAGGCGACTAGTTTGTAAGATTTCATGGTGTCTTGAAAGTTGGGCTGCGAATGCTCAGACAGGATGGTTCGCGCTGTGAGACGTACTGGAGCTTGTTTTAGGATCGGTAATGAAGTGCAGGGGTAATAGGAGATTAGATCGTCGGCTTGGGGGAGTTGTGTCTCTTGACTAGCGCCTTGCTTGGTGTAGGATATGAATTCGGCCGATCTACAGGTAGTCTCGTGGCCACTTCGGTATAACATATTCCCCACGGACAGACTCAGCATCGGACGAACTTGCACGCGCTTTAATCTATAGTGCCGCTGTAATGTAGATCATTATAGCGTCCCGGTTGCCGTGAGATCTTGCGGGGTAAAAGGGATGATATTCTATATGCCGGCTGTGGAGTATAACAATGCCCCTTATGGCCTGATTACAATCTCCACCGATGCTGTTTGCCATCGACTTGCCAAGCCCCCTTTGATCTAACTATCTTTTACCACTTCAAACTCTTCATCATGACGAAACAAGAAGCATCACCAGACGAGATCTTACCAGGTCACAACGACCAGGACATTTCCCCCTCAAACGAAGATGAACTTCGTTCCAAGATCTTAACCGCTGAGCGCTCAACTCTCCCAGAGGGTTACTTCCTCAGCCGTGAGTTCGTCGGAACGTTCGGCGGTATCGCCTTCAGTCTTGCAGCGACATACTTTGCTTTCCAGGCTGGTGCCGGCGCCCTCATCAACATTAACCAGCACATCGGCCCCAGTGAGAACTACTACCTGTTCTCAATTGTCTGGACGGTCTCTCAACCCATTTCCATGCTCTTGTTTGGCCGTCTCTCTGATATGTTCGGTCGTCGAAACCTTGCTCTTGGTGCCAACATCCTTGGAATAATCGGTGGTATTATCGCTGCTACTTCGCAGAGCATCAACCAACTCATCGCTGCCAACGTTCTCTTGGGCCTTGCTTCGGGTATTCCGGGTTCATACCCTCTTTTGACGGGAGAGCTTATGACGAACAAGCTCAAATTTCTTGGTACTATTGTTGTTGTAGTACCTAACATCATCGCTACTGGGTTCGGTCCGTATCTTGGCCTTCGACTTAGCATTCTTAGTTCGTGGAGATGGATCTTTTACATCTATATCATCTTGATGGGTATGTCTGCCAGCTTT